TATATATATATTGTCATGTTATGACATACTGCTCAATTATAAAACATTAAATAAAAGCAAATCTTAAAGCATAGTAGCGTTTTAAAATATTTAATTCCAAGTATGAACAATTAAACTGAAAATATTTATTAAATTTATAGATTTTCTTAAAAAGAATCACATGAAGTAGTAAAAATTAAGTCAAATAGTTCTATTTTATGTCTAGTTTAAAAGAATATCACAAATTTGTGCAATGCAAGTTATATAATGGAATATGACTCCGGAAATGTCAAAATTCACATGAAATTCAAAATAAAACAATTTTCCAACGATAATTTCTTGAAAAAAACAGCACAGAAACATGTACATGTTTGCACAGTACATGTTTGTCACCAACAAACCACAGCAGTACAAAACATTATCTATACTTCATTTAAAGATTTTCATCGAATTTTGAAACGATAGCTTTGTACAGTAACGGCTATCGAATGAATTTTACTAAATTTTCAATATACATGCAAATAACGTTATAGAAAGTTAAAGTGTTATACCTTTAGCAAGTTCACATCCTTAGAACTGGATTTGATCCAATATATAGGTGCATTGTACAAGAAAAAAAATTGTATCATATGTCAAACGACAAACTTTGTAAATCTTGTTTTTAATCTAAAGGTGAGTGTGAATCTGCTGTAGACATTGGCTAGTGCATCTTCCAAGGACTAAAAAGCAGTATTTATTTTATGTTATAGACTTTTCCATAAGTGAAAAATTTGTGAAAAACGATGTCATTTCGACACCTAGAACAAAAATAAGCCATAAACATTTAAATAAATGCAAACCCAAGTGGAAAGTATGTAAGAACTTTAATAAAGAGGTCATAAAATAGATTTAGATAGGTAAAAACAGTTTTAAGTAAGAAATGTTACTGTATTTTCATAATTTAGCATAGGTTCAGAATAGATGTAAAATTATAACCTACAATGGAAAATGGGGTATCAAAATAACGAGAATTGTATCCTATAATCGAAAATAAGCATAATTTTCAGTTTTAGAAATCCGTATGCCCAAAATTTCATAAAATAAGTTATCTTATATGACAGGTGACGTTGTATCCACACAAACTTCTTTTGTTTTCGGGTTTATTAAAAGTGTTTTGGACGAAAACAGCCAGTTTGCTCATGATCTTTAAACGATAAACATCTGTGGTAATCTGAAACAAAACAAGTGAAAATCACAAGTAAACTCAAGGCAACCCAATTATTTTAAAACTTGTACCCTTTCAAATCTCAAATGTCAAACTGATGTGAGGTTATAATTTTGTCAAAAGTTGTGAGAAAAGAAATTAGCCCGAACGGGGATCAAACATAAGAAAATTAAACTTGTACAACAACGAACTGTTAGGATTTGTGACCAATCAAGTGCTTCGACTGCGTGAATTTTCGAAAAGGGAATAAAGTGCGAATACAAAATTAGTGACCAGTGCCTGAGCGGAATAAATGGAACGGAGGAGAATCTGACGGCTTCAGAACGAGTTAATGGCAGAAAACAACGAGAAAGTCTAGTTCCAGTTCAGCAGGCCTGCCAACTTCAAGATCGTCTGAGAACTTTGAAATTTTAAAATACAAGGTAGACCATTTTATTTAACTGCAGTTAAAAGGTATTTTATTGGCCACATATGTAAAAAAAACATTGATCAATGAAAGATAAAGATATTTAAAACTAAATTTTAAAAAATTTAAAAACAAAAGTTTCATTTAACCAATCAAATTTGTAAAGTAATATAAATAAAGAGATCTCAATTTTTAATTTTAGTCTAGATTAAGAAAATTTGTATAACTGTATATCTGAACATCTGTTGTGGTAAATATAGCTGACACTTGTTAAAGTTATCAAAATTTATTTATTATTCCATGTGTGATATTTGAGGAAAATCTAGATAGTGAGATAAACAAAATTTATGACAAATAAATAAGTAGATTCTTACTTGAATAAAATATTGAACCCGCCTCCTACTCGAGGGAGTTGCTCACATAAAAAAAATAAAATATAAAAATAAAAAAACTTAAGTAAAATTTTAAATTAAATAAAATTTAAAATAGAGGCCATTTAAGCATTAGCAGGTAAATATAAGACTTGTGAATTGTATTTACGTCTTTAACATATATACTACACTACACATAACATACTTTATTGACACACATATACAGGGGCTATTCAAAACTTACTCAAAACATTAATTTCCAAAATAGAACATTCATACATGAAATTTCAACTAACACATAAAACAACATTCAACACAACAAGAAATTGGCGTCCAACGTGTTAGGCTCTTTTAAAATTTGCAAAACCAAGTAAAAACAAAATAGACATGGACCTTAGAAGTGGAAAGGTAATTTCTGAAGAGGCGTGCAGCTCTGATGAAGAACAAAGTATGAGCACGGAAGTAGAAACAAGGGGGGAACAAACAACTAGCAGGCAAGAAACAATGTTAAGAATCGAAAACATAACGGCATTGTTTCAAGATATTAAAAAAGATATACAGGGTATGGAAAGGAAACAGGAAGAAAGAAGCAAAGAAGCTGGAGAAAAACAGAAAACATTATTCCAGGAAGCTGAAAGGCGGATAGAAGAAACAGAA